CCAGACCTTCAAATCTTTGCTCAAATGTTAGCTCCTCAATGAAGCCTCCCCTAATCCATTTAAAATTGTAACCCATTCCCCTCCCCATGCTCCCTATACCTTTAATCTGCTTTCTTCTAATCCCATAGCTCTTAATTGCTATTATGTACAGGTTGCTAATTTAATGTCTCATTGTCTGCCTAGTCACATTAGAATGTAAACTCCAGAAGAGCAGTATCTTTGTTTTATTCACTGATTCATCCCAAGAATCCTTTGTACATAGATGCTTCAATAAAGTTATGGTCTATGTAGATATTTTAGGCCCTTCTAGAAGGTATTTAACTGCAAGAGATGAACAGTCTCACTGATATCTAAATGGAAATGGAAGCATGATGAACAACTACATTAAATCACAGCACTCTTTTGTTTGTTTTTTTGAGACAGAGTCTCACTCTGTTGCCCAGGCTGGAGTGCAATGGCACGATCTTGGCTCACAGCAACCTCTGCCTCCCAGGCCCAATTCTCCTGCCTCAGCCTCCCGAGTGGCTGGAATTACAGGCACCTGCCACCGTGCCCAGCTAAACAGCACAATTTCTAAGTTGCAATGCCTCAAGAGAAAGCAGCAGTAAAAATACTAAGCTGAAAATCACTAAAAGAAAAAGGTTTTATTCACACTGAATCCTGAGTAACAGAATATCCTGAATAGAGTAACAGAATTGTAAATCCATTTTTTTTTTAAATGAGGAAGGAAAAGTAGAAGAAGAAACGACGAGTTAAACAGTGAAAATTCCCAACAGTGCCATGAAATTACATAAAAGTTACCAAAGATAACTTGGTCATAGGCTAGAAGCTAATAAAAAACACTTTCAGATGAAAAAGGGAGGTTGACAACAGTAACAAAACTTTAGAACAGTTCCTCAAGAACTTCATTCCTGCACTTTACTCACTACTATCATCAGGATACAGCAAGTATCCTCTTTAATAATAGTGGTTACAGGTTTCAAAATATCTTCACATATATTACCTTATTAAATCCTGAGAAAAACCAAATTAAACTCAAACATAAATAATCTGGTAACTAACAAAAGCACTTAATAATGTATGCACTTGACAGTAAAAATGCAACTTTTCCTTTGAAAATTCCCCACGATATTTGACAAACTACGAAGAGACATTTTATGGAAGGGCAACTTTTTTTGGCACTGGAAGTAATATAAGTCTTTTGAAGAATAACAGAGTACAGCTAGAAAGAGCCATAAAAATCCTGAAACCCTTTGACCTAGTAAAACCACTCTTGGGTGCTTTCTCTAAGGAAATAGTTATACTGAAGCAAAACCTATTAGTATAAAAACGTTGGCCAGGCTTGATAGCTCACGCCTGGCCCGCGAATCACAAGGTCAAAAGACGGAGACCATCCTGGCCAACATGGTGAAGCTCCATCTCTACTAAAAATACAAAAATTAACTGGTCGTGGTGGCCTGTAGTCCCAGCTACTCGGGAGGCTGAGGCAGAAGAATCATTTGAACCTGGGAGGTGGAGACTGCACTGAGCCAAGATGGTGCCACTGCACTCCAGCCTGGAGTCAGAGCAAGACTGCATTTCAAAAAAAAAAAAAAAAAAGTTCACTGCACCACTATCTATAATAACGAAAAAGTGTAAACCCAAATCACAACAATAGAATGGTTAGGTAAAAACCCTAATTTTTTTTTTTAATACTGGCCAGGCAAAGTGGCTCATGCTTATAATCCCAGCACTTTAGAAGGCCCAGGCAGGTGGATCACCTGAGGTCAGGAGTTCAACACCAGCCTGGGCAACATGGTGAAACCCTGTCTCTACTAAAAATACAAAATTTAGCTAGGCGTGGTGGCACATTCCTGTAGTCCCAGCTACTAAGGAGGCTGAGGAGAATCCCTTGAACCCAGGAGGCAGAGGTTGTTAACGAGCTGAGATCATACCACTGCACTCCAGACTGGGCAACAGAGTGAGACTCTGGCTCAAAAAAAAAAAAAAAAAAAAAAAAGAATAAAATAACATTCAAGGAAAAAGGCTAACTACAAAGTAACATACACACTACCACTACTACATAAAAATGAAAAGGTTAAAAAGCAAAAGTAAGAATTAGACTGATGGTCGGGCACAGTGGCTCACACCTGTAATCCTGGCACTTTGGGAGACTCAGGCTGGGGGACCACTTGAGGTCTGGCCAGCCTGGCTAACATAGTGAAAACCTGTCTCTATTAAAAATACAAAAATTGGCCAGGAGTTGGAGACTAGTCAGGCCAACATGGCAAAACCCCATCCTCACTAAAAATACAAAAAAATTGGCTGGGTGTGGTGGCAGGTACCTGTAAACCCAGCTACTCGGGAGGCTGAGGCAGGAGTATCCCTTGAGCCCAGGAGGCGGAGACTGCAGTGAGCTGAAAGGCCACTGCACTTTAGCCTGGGTGACAGAGGGAGACTCCGTCTCAAAAAAAATATATATATATTCTAATATTGTGATTACATTGTCTTCCCCAAAACAGCCACCTTCGAAAATGTGTATGACAATTAAAGACAGAATAAATCCCTTCTGAAAGTCATGAAAAGCTATTCACACACACACACACAAAAAAAACAAAAGTCAAATTATAAAATATTTCTTAAAGCAGATTTCCAGACTTTCAAGAATATTTCGCTATCTCAAAACTTGTCAAACCCAATGCTGCATTTTCTTATTTCACCCTTGCTCTCAGAAACTTATTTTCATTGCTGATACGCAAAAACCAAAGGGAGGCGATTCCAGAAGTTGAAACTTATTTACAAGGAATGCAGTAAAGTGATTCAAAATTCAAAGTAATTCTACAAGTACATTAACAATCTGCACAAGAATAAAATTTCACATTATACAAATCCAACACAGTAAATAAAATTTCACCTATTCATCAAAAAGAATAAGGGCTACCATTTAGGTCTCGAGTAAAAGAATATAAAGCAAGGAAAAATCTAAATTAATCTTAAATTGTTGTAAAGCCTCAAGGAACAAAAAAAGACCTTGTGGAACTAAAACATTCCAAATATCTCTGATCACTCAAACTATTCTGAAGCAAATTCTGCTATAATCTAATTTTTAAGCCTAAGAGTCAATGCAACTTAAAATCCTTAGTTTTAATTTGTATGTATCTGAACAAGTTGAAAATATCTGCCAAATCTCCTTCTAATACCTAAGAAAGTGAAAGCAGAATGCATCATTTTCTACAAAAATTCTAGTTAAAATTTTTTCATTCTTCACTAGATGCCAACAAAAAAGGGAAACTGAAGTTACTCTACGACGGGAAATGATCACTTCACCTGAACTAGTTTGGCTAAGTAGTAGCTGGGATGCTTCAGACTCAGAGAAGTTGGGGTGGGGGTGTGTGGCGGGGGACGGGACGGGGCATGTAAAGTCAAATAACTGACAGGCTATTGAAGGGAAGAGAATTCCTAAAAAACCAGCTGATTCCTCTTGATGGGGAACTTCTGTTGTAAATAAAAATTATTTAGAAATGGATTGGTGAAAATGTGTTTTCAAAAAGAAAACTCAGGTGCCTGAAAAATCGTCTTATCCCACCTTCCAAAGCTCAAGATGTCTAAGGAGGACGCCGGTCACTGGCCCTGCCAAGCCGGCGGCCTAGGCCTAAGGGAGGCACAGTAGTGCCTGCAACACGGATGGACTTGGGGCACAGGGGAAATGGACTTGCGTGCCCTTGGTAAGCTCTGGCGGCACTCCCGAAGTTAAGGACACCGGCCACAATGGAATGGAGTCTATTGACATTTGCTTCTCCGTTTGAACACTAAGCATTTTCTTAGTTCGTGAAATGCGAACTGACAATCACCACCCCCCCACACACACCCTCAACAGGCCCTCCTGCACGAACACACCCTCCAGAGTCAAACCCAGTTAGCCGGGACAACACTGATCCCTCGCCCGGTCTCTACCACAACCCCGGGTTAGGTGGGAAAAAGACACTAGTAAACATTTCTGCCTTCAGAAACCCCACCACGTCCCCTGCTGCAATCTCTCTCTCCTAGCATTTCCGAAATTGGGGCGGGGATTGGGAAAAGTGCGCAGGGTGCCCGCTCCCTGCCACCAGAACCGCCACCCCGTATCTCCTGGGTCCAGCCTGGATCCGGCCCTCGCCCACCACTGTTCACAGGCGCCTTCTCCACCGCGGCCTCGGAACAGCAATGCGGATCGGCCGCCACCCGCGCGCCGGAGAGGCCAGGCGGGGGAAGAAGGGAGGCCGGGCACTCCCCACCCCTTCCCTTCCCCAGGAGGGGGAAGGCGGGACGCTGCGGGAGGCTGCACGGAGCCCCAAGATTCCACGGGAGTTCGGGAGCCCCCGCCGCAGCCTCGGAATCAAACGGGGAGGGGTGCGGGGGCCAAGGCCCACCTGTCTCCACCCCGTCTTCCGATCTTTTCCAGGACTGGGAGGGGGCGGGGAGAGGAGCCCCGACAGACCCTGATGATTCCGGAGGAGCCCAGTGCCTACCCCTTAAACGGGCACGGGGGACGCGGCCCTAACTTCTCCCCTTCTGAGATGTCCCCCACGGTGGGGGACGACATGTTCCAGAAAACGACACTAAAGCCTCCAGACCCCTCCAACGTTCACGTCTAAACTGGGGGTGGGACGCTGCCCAAGCATACCCCTGCTGCGGGCGGAGGAGGCGTGCGGAAAGGGGAGCCAGGGGTGACCACAGTCGCGACCCGAGAACTCCTCCCAACACGCGTGGGGAGGGGAGGCCGCTCGCTCCCTCCATCTTGACCGCTGGGGGAGGGGGCGGGGATGCTGCGGGAGGCTGGACAGGCCTGACAATCCCAGAAGACCCCCGCGGCGCCCCCCAGCCGAGCCTCGGGACTCAGGCCCGGGCGAGTCCCCCACAAGCCGCCAGCCCCCAGCCCACCTCGGGCAGCCCTGCCGGTCATGGGGCGGGGACCGCAGCGCCAGCCGCGGGGGAAGGGACGCCGGGCCCAGAGCGGAGGGGGCTGGGGTGCCGACACCCACCTGCCCAGGCCGGGCCTCCCGCTGCTGGCGGTCGCCGCGGCCGCCGAGGAAGAGGGTGCCGTGGCCGAGGACGAGGAGACAGAGGACGAGGACGGCGAAGGCGCGACGGCGGGCGACGCGAGAAGGCCGCTGCTGCCGGGCTTGCGGACATTGGCGGCCGCAGGCGGCTGCGGCTGCTGCTGCTGCTGTTGCTGCTGCTGTTGCTGCTGCTGCTGGGGCTTCAGCGACATGGTGAGGGGCCCATACACCGGCTCGCACGCCGGGCGGGGACAGCTGGGAGCCGGGCGCGCCGAGGAGTCGCCGGAGCGCGGCGGGGACGCGAGAGCGCCGAGCGGGGAGGCGCGGGTTGGCGCGGCCGGGGAGCCGCCCGGGCTGACGAGGGGGAAAAGGAGGACGAAGAAGGGGCGGGGAGGCCCGCCGAGACCGAGGAACCGCCGGAAGCCGGACCGGGATGCGCCGCCGCCGTTGCCGTTGCTACCAAAACAGTCTGAGGCAGAGGGAGGCGAGCGCTGCTGGGAGGGAGGGGGGCCAGGGCCGGGCGGGGGAGGGGCGGCGGAGGGATACGGGCCCGGTACCGCGCCACCGCCGCCCCGCCCGCTTCGCCGTGCCGGCCGCGGGAGCGAGCGCCGCCCCGGCCACCTAGCTACGGCGAAGCGGCGAGGCTCGGTGGCCGCCGCGGGACTCTGAGGAGCTGCGGCCGCTGAGCGCATCGGAGGCCGGGTGCACCGAGGCGCCGGGTGGGCGCTGAGGTACGGATTGGGACTCTTTACCGGAAGTCGGAGGAGTCGGGCGGAAGTAGATCGTGAGGCGGCACGGGACCGGGAGGGACACGTGAAGAGCGGGCGCAGCGCTGGGCCGTGTTCGCGGGGGTCGGGTGAGGGCCAGGCGGCAGGCCCTTCCCGGATCCGCCCTCTCGAGGCGGGTCTGCCCTTCGGGGAGGGCGTGTCGGTCTTAGCCTCTGGGGCCTGCCTGGTGTGGAGAACAGCAGGGAAGCGTTTCTTCTCCCACTGTATTCCTTCAGCGTCCTCACACTCCTGCAGGGACCTTGTTTGCCCCCACCTGATGCAACCCAGAAAATGGACTGCGAGTTCCTTGGGGCGGAGAATGTGTCTTGCTACGTGTAAAGCACCTACAACCCTGCCAGACTCAGGGGACACAGCATCCCGCCGTTTTCCTGCCGTCCCCGGCCGGGCGCACACTAGGCTCTCCAGTGCCTCTGGGCACCTCCCAGGCAGGCCGAGCTGCCCTGCGCTGCTGAGGCTGGAGTGGAGAAACCCTCCGGGGCCACCCACATCTGGGTACCTTTTCCCCACTTTTTCCACCCCAGCCGCGAAAACTCTTCTAGGTATCTGACCTTCATTTGAACCTACGTTCCCTCATTTGAACTTCTTTTTCCTCATTCACGAGATTCTAAAGGAAATATGCGGGACTGAGACTGGTAGAGCTAAGGATAAGCAGACCTCACAAGAACGTGCGAACTTTAGACCTTGTACCCTTTAGAAGTTTTAATTTAACTTAGCCAGCCAGCACAGTAGACCCTTTTTAAAATGTGTTGCATGTAAACTGGAAGCAAGTAGATAACTTTTTTTATTACCTTGAGTAGTGAATCTAGTGTTTTTTAGTGAAATGACTTCAGGAAATAATAGAGGAAGAAACACCAAAATTCCCCTTCAGTGTCCTAGAATTGTCCAGATAAAGACCTAGAAAAACATGGAGAATGATTAAACCAGCAGTTTTCAGTAGCCCAAATGAAATTAAACTCCTAGATAGTTCAGGCAAAAACGATCATTGTATTCTGCCAGTGTAGGAAATCAGTTTTATTTCCCAGCTAAAGAGAGATTGTTGCAAAACCCTTTAAAAATTAACCCAGCCTGGCCAACATGGTGAAAACCCATCTCTACTAAAAATACAAAAATTAGCTGGGGGTAGCGGGTGCCTGTAATCCCAGCTACTTCAGAGGCTGAAGCAGGACAATCGCTTGAACCCGGGAGGTGGAGGTTACAGTGAGATCGTGCCACTGCATTCCAGCCTGGGCGACAGAGCGAGACTCCGTCTCAAAAAAATAAATAAATAAAAATTGACCTAAGAAAATTGGTACTAAAAAACCAGTTGAGGAAACAAAAAAAAAAATAGAAGAGCCTCTTTTTTTTTTTTTTTTTTTTTTTTTGAGACAGAGTCTGGCTCTGTCACCTAATCTAGAGTTCAGTGGCACAATTTTGGCCCACTGCAACCTCCGCCTCCCAGGTGCAAGTGGTTCTTCTGCCTCAGCCTCCGAAGTAGCTGGGATTACAGGCGTATGCCAATACGCCCGGCTAATTTTTGTGTTTTTAGTAGAAACGGGGTTTCGCCATGTTGGCCAGGCTGGTCTTGAACTCCTGACCTTGTGATCTACCCATGTCAGCCTCCCAAAGTGCTGGGATTAGAGGCATGAGCCACTGCTCCTCTAGCCTAAGGGCCTAAATAGAAATACAATCACTTTTCTCTGTTAGGAATCAAAGTCCCAGAATACAGGCCGGGCGCGGTGGCTCAAGCCTGTAATCCCAGCACTTTGGGAGGCCGAGGCGGGTGGATCACGAGCTCAAGAGATCGAGACCATCCTGGTCAACACGGTGAAACCCCGTCTCTACTAAAAATACAAAAAAAAAAAAAAATTAGCTGGGCATGGTGATGCGTGCCTGTAATCCCATCTACTCAGGAGGCTGAGGAAGGAGAATTGCCTGAACCCAGGAGGCGGAGGTTGCGGTGAGCGATCGCGCCATTGCACTCCAGCCCGGGTAACAAGAGCGAAACTCCGTCCCAAAAAAAAAAAAAAAAGTCCCAGAATACAATCTTAAGACTAACTTTCAGGACAATGGAAAGAAAAATGGAAGTATTCAATAAGAAGGCCTAGGCTGGGCACGGTGACCTACACCTGTAATCCCAGAACTTTGGGAAGCCAAGCGGGGCAGATCCTTTGAACCAAGGAGTAGGAGGAGACAAGCCTGGGCAACATAGTGAGACTTCCCCCCATACAAAAAAAAATTTTTTTTTGAGACAGAGTCTTGCTCTGCTGCCCAGGCTGGAGTGTGCAGTGGTGCCATCTTGGCTCACTGCAACCTCCGCCTCCCTGGTTCAAGCGATTCTCCTGCCTCAGCCTCCTGAGTAGCTGAGACTATAGGCACGTCCCACCATGCCCAGCTAACTTTTTGTATTTTTAGTAGAGGGGGGTTTCACTGTGTTAGCCAGGATGGTCTCAATCTCCTGATCCGTCCGCCTCGGCCTCCCAAAGTGCTGGGATTACAGTTGTGAGCCACCATGTGGCACTTAAAAAGTTTTTAAAAATCGGCCGGGTGTGGTGGCTCACGCCTGTAATCCAAGTACTTTGGAGGCCAAGGCGGGCGGATCACCTGAGGTTGGGAGTTCAAGACCAGCCTGACCAATATGGTGAAACCCCATCTTTAAAAAGAAAAAAAAAAAAGGTTTTAAAAATTAAAAAGAAGAAGCCGGGCGCGGTGGCTCACGCCTGTAATCCCAGCACTTTGGGAGGCTGAGGCGGGTGGATCACAAGGTCAAGAGATCAAGACCATCGTGGTCAACATGGTGAAACCCCGTCTCTACTAAAAATACAAAAATTAGCTGGGCATGGTTTGGCGTGCCTGTAATCCCAGCTACTCAGGAGGCTGAGGCAGGAGAATTGCCTGAACCCGGGAGGTGGGGGTTGCGGTGAGCCGAGATCGCACCATTGCACTCCAGCCTGGGTAACAAGAGCGAAACTCCATCTCAAAAATAAATAAATAAATAAATAAAAATTAAAAAGAAGGCCTGAAGCAAATGTAGCTGAGAAAGGTTGTTTTAACCCCTACCACTGAATAAAATCTTAACAATTTTATCGATATAATTTACATACTATGAAATTCTCCTATGTTTGTACTTTTTTTTTTTTTTTTTTTTTTTTTGGACACAGGGCCTTGCTCTGTCACCCAGGCTGGAGTGCAGTGGTATGACCTTGGTTCACCACGACCTCCAGCTCCCACGTTCAAGCAATTCTCCTGCCTCAGCCTCCTGAGAAGCTGGGACTACAGGCACCTGCCACCACGCCCAGTTATTTTTTTTTTTTATTTTTTTGTATTTTTTAGTAGAGATGGGATTTCACTATGTTTGCCAGGCTGGTCTTGAACTCCTGACCTCGTGATCCACCCTCCTCAGCCTCCCAAAGTGCTGGAATTACAGGCGTGAGCCACCATGCCATCTTATTTTGTGTACAATTTAATGATTCTCAGTAAATTTATACAGTTGTACAACCATTGCCGCTAATTTCAGAACATTTCCATTACCCTGGAAGATCCTTCATGTCTGTTGGCAGTTTGGTTCCCATCCTCAGCCCCAGGGAACCCCTAATCTATTTTTTCTCTCTATGGATTTCATATAAGTAGAATCTTACAGCATGCAGCCTTTTGTGTCTGCGTTCTTTCATTTGTCATAATGTTTTCAAGGTTTTTCTAAGGTTGTGGCATGTAGCAGTATTTCATTCCTTATTATTTCTACATCATATTCCACGTATGGACATACCATATTTTGTGTCTACTTGCCAGTGGGTGGATGTTTAGATTGTGTCAACTTTTTGACTATTATGAAAATGCTTCTGGGGCTGACACTGGTGGCTTCTTTCTATAATCCCAACACTTTGGGAGACAGAGGTTGGAGGATCACTTGAGTGTCCAGAAGTTTGAAACCACCCTGGGCAGCATAGAGTAACACTATCTCTATGAAGAAAAACTTTAAAAATAAAAAATTAGGCCAGGCGAGGTGGCTCATGCCTGTAATCCCAGCACTTTGGGAGGCCGAGGTGGGTGGAGGTCATGAGGTCAGGAGATTGAGACCCTCCTGGCCAACATGGTGAAACCCCATCTCTACTAAAAATACAAAAATTACCTGGGTGTGGTGGCAGATGCCTGTAATCCCAGCTACTCAGGAGGTTGAGGCAGGAGAATTGCTTGAACCCGGGAAGTGGAGGTTGCAGTGAGCCAAGCTCGCACCACTGCACTCCAGCCTGGGGAACAAGAGAGAGACTTCATCTCAAAAAAAAAAAAAAGTGTTGTATCAGGTAGCCTCTATGGCATCCTGGAATGATTCTTGCCTCCTGGTGTTCAGACACTGTGAAATCCTCTCCACTTGAATTTTAAAACAAAAACTTTTTTTTTTTTTTTTGAGATAAGATTTTACTCTGCCACTCAGGCTGGAGTGCAGTGCCATAATCTGGCTGAGTGCAGTGCCATAATCTGGCTCACTGCAGCCTCCATCTCCCACGCAGGCCCAAGCAATCCTCCTACCTCAGCCTTCAGAGCAGCTGGGACTTTAGACATGCACCACCACACCCAGCTAATTTTTGTTAAATTTTGGGGGATTTATTGGTTGGTTGGTTGGTTGGTTTTTAGGCAGAGTCTTACTCTGTTGCCCAAACTAGAGTACAATGGTGAGATCTCAGTTCATTGTAACCTCTGCCTCCTGGGTTCAAGCAATCCTCCCCACTTAGCCTCCGTGTAGCTGGGATTATAGGCATTCACCATCATGTCCACCATCATGTCCAGAATAATTTTTGTATTTTTAGTAGAGATGACATTTTGTCATGTTGGCCAGAACTCCTTGCCTCAAGTGATTTGCCCACCAGCCTCCCGAAGTGCTGGGTTCACAGGTGTGAGCCCCCACACCACCCAACCAATAAGCGAACATT